GGGAGGGGGATGAGAAAGGTGACTGGAGAGGGGACAGGGAGTGAGACTGAAGCCAGGAGGGGCACAAGGGTGGGGTGGGCCCAAAAAAAACATTATGAAAGAAAAAACCTCCTACAATAAATACCTCTGGCTTTGTTTTGTGTTGGCCATCTACTACTGCAGGGCTCCATGGGGCCTGCCTGCCCTTAAGCCTGGTTGGGATACCCAGGAAAAACCCCCCCGGAGAAACTAATTTTTCATTTGCAAGAGGTTGTTTTCTGAGGAAAAGGTTCTTGCTGGAAACAGGAACTCGTGACTACTCCCCCATCTCAGCAGTGGGGCAGCATTGGGTTTGGATTTGTACAAACCTCGTAAGTGCCTTCCATAAGATACTGACATGGAAGTCTAGCAGGTGAGGGCCATGACTTAGAAGTTTCTGAGGGCTCACTGAAGGGTGGGTTTTGAGAAGCTATAGGAAAAGTCCCCAGGCTCTCCAATATCTTCCCTCACTTTGATGTCTGTCCAGCATTGTCTGAACCTCTATGGAAAGGGGTAAAACTTTGTCAGAGAAACCGCCTCTTGGATTCCAAAATGGAAACCGGCATAAACCGGATCACTGCATCAGGCCTTCCCCACTAGGCTGGCACTAAAGGCGTGGTGAGGCACAAAGAAGGCCATTCTGTTTATATCCTCACCTTCAAGCACCACAGGGACCTCAATTCCTCAGGTCGTCAGCTGAAGAGACACTTCTACGGCTTCCTAGAGACAAAGCAGAAGTCAGTATACGTCACATCCTCTCACTTAACGGAAGCTGCAAAATGACAATTTACCTCATAGGCGTTTTCACTTGCGGCAGGATAGATTATGGAACAAGATAAGGGCTCAGGAGAGAAGGGGGGAAATAGTAAGAAAGAGGGCATAGGCCGAGCATTGATAGCACACCTTTAGTCTCAGCACTTAGGAGGCAGAGGCAGGTGGATCTCTGTAAGTTCGAGAGCAGCCTGGTCTACGGAGGGAGTTCCAGGACAGCCTCCAAAGCCACAGAGAAACCCTGCCTCGAAAAACAAGAAAAAAGAAAAAAAAGAAAAAAGAAAACAAAGTGGGCATGGTGTACTAGAACATGTGATGGTGATAAGCTTGTGCACAGGGATATACGGGGGGCTGAAGCATAGAATCGGAGAAGTATAGCAAAGGATTAGTCCTTCAACATAAAATATGAAAGCGTAAAATCAATCACATTATTTTGTACCCTAATTCTTTTAAAATAGCACTTTTATAAATCGAAACTATTAACCATCTCCTTAGAGGAGGCCTTCATTAATGTCATGAATAAACACAGTGACTATTTTTTAAAAGTAGCCTTTATTCTTAGTTCTGGGTCCTCAATTCCCGGTACCTTTTTATCTCTTCTTCTGCCGGAGGCCACACTCATCAAACAAATCCCTTCAGCAATATGAGACTGAGGGGTAACCCTTGTTTGACAAGATTATATGAGATTCAGAAATAGCTATATAGGTTTGGATGGTTTTTTTTTCTATCATTCACGTTGGAGGCTCAAAGCATTTGTATTTCCTCTAAATATGGCCTCCATTCCTTGCCTTCATAAGATCTTCTATTTCCCTGAAACACTTTTCACAGACTACGGAGTTTGGTGAGAGAAATGCCTGTCCCCGAAAACCCTGGCCCAACCTTCAGAGACAAACAGGGAATTCTCTTACCTTGGTTCACAGTCCACAGTGCCTCTACACTGACTGAGTCTTGCTCTTCTTAACCAAAGACTCTCACTTCCCTGAGAACCTATAAACTCTTTGTGTAGAAGTCAAGGTCGACAGCCTCTGACTTATTTTTACTTATCTGGCATCCAGTTACTGATGTCAATGTGCCTCTTTATTCACATTTTTTGCTGGCAGTTTGCAGAAAAATAGTTGATTGTTTATAGATATGGTTTGCAACGATGTAGCTGACCTCTTGAAACATGTACTTGTGTATTCCCTTGTTTTCCATGTAGATAAACTTCTGCAACTAATACCAGTAGTGTTCTAAAACAAACATATTTTCATTTTACTTTTTCTTGTTTTATAACTAGGTAAGCATTCTCGTACAATACTCAATAGCTGATTGACAGTCCATTTCTCTTTTTTGTTTAATTCTTTAATTAATATTCATGTTTACATATCCATCCCCCCATTCCCTCACCCTCCCATTCTCCCATGTTCCCCACCAAACCCCCAACCCATCCCCCAACTCCTGCCCAGGGAGTGTGAGGCCCTCCACCAAGGACCTTCAAAGTCTA